GATTATTTTGATAATTACAGCTTTGTAATACAGTTTGAGATCTGGTACAGTTAAGCCACTTTCCTTTACATCTTTTCATTAATTCCCTTGATATTCTGTCTTGACCTTTTGTTATCTGGATGAATTCTGTTATTATTTTTTCTAGCTCTATAAAATATTTTTTTTGGTAATTTGATTGGTATAACAATAAACTAATTTAGGTAGAATTGTCATTTTTATTATATTGGTTCAGCCTACCCATGAGCAATTAATATTAATGCAAAGGCTTTTTTTAAAGCCATAGTAATTATCAACAAACACAAATAACAAAATAAAAACATAAAATAGGGAGTAAAACTTCACATAAGCTTTTAGCATTGAACATGATATAGTAAAATGACTTAATAAACTAGCCAAGAAAAAGATGTTTTGTTTTGTGTCCTTTTCCAAATCCATTTGAAGTTCTACCACTTTTGCATAGTTTGAACTTAACTTGGTAATAGATACACATGGACTATTGGTTTTATTTTGAGAGTGAGGTAAAGGGATGTTGGGGTTTATCCCTGTAATTTTATTGGTGTAGGGAATTCTTCAATACAGAAATTCTCACCACTGGCACAGATGATCAGATCATCTGTAAGTGTCTGTAATGACTAAGAGGCTAAAGAGATTTAGCCAAAAGCATGCAGCTAGTATGTGTAGGAGGCCTTCCTGACTCTTAAAGGCCAACCCATTAATGATGGTACCATGCTATTTCTCCAGATTCATACATTTGCAAAAAGGGCATAAGTAATAATCTTGCATGAATTAGTTCCTTGGGCTTGATTTAAAAGAGGGGTGTGTGTGTGTAGTATATGTGTGGGTTGGGGATATGCTCTGGCTTATTTCCAGAGTGAGGCATACTATATTTTCCCCTCAGGCTTCTATGATACCTTGAGAGGTTTGGGGTATCTCTTCTTTTACTGACATTCGTTCAAGCCCCCCCCCAAATGTGTTCCTTTCATTGTTAGGGGCTTGTAACTAATATACTTAATATTAATTAGTGTTTACAAAAGGATATTTACTTCGAAGATAAAGCAAGAATAAATGTACATATAATCCCCTTTTCTCCCCTCCCCCCACCTTAGGTCAGTTCCTGCATAGTACTGGTTCCACCAAATTCACGTCTAAAAGTAGCATCAATACTGGATGAGTCCTTATTCAGGCATGGTTGGGCTGCAGTTCCAAAGGTTACTCCCAAAGTTTGCTGCTTGGGGTATTGATGCTGTGCTGACTACAAATACCACCTGAACTCCAACTTCCAGATTCCTATGTCTTATCTCCCAACCTTTCTGAGCTCTCATGGTCAGCCTGGTTTCTTCCTAGATGCTGTGGATTAAGGAGTCACCAAATGAAGCTAAAAGAGAATGAGGCAAAGTTCATCATGGTGGATGCTGACATGTCTGTTTTGAATGCCTCCAGAGAGTCTCCCCTTTACTAAACGTTAACCATGAAACTAGTTGTGTAATACACGTTCCACAATCTCTCCAAGGAATTTCCTTTATAAATCATGATTCTCCTGGAAGAAAATTCCCAAGAAACTTCTACATGGAGAGCTTGCATCAGTCAAATAAACATGTGGGGTTTATACATGCACTAGACCCCCATAATATATGATATATGTGCATAGATATATAGATAGATATCATTGTACACATTCATACATACACATATAAAATCTAATAGTTGTATATTATGCATGTCTAAATACGTATGCAGCTGAGTCTGCTATCTATACAGTTGGACTATTGACTTGCCAGAACTAAGATCAGAATTTATAATAAACAAGAACAGTAATGAGAAAAATATGTGGAATCTACCTAAAAAGACCTAACCTTGACTTATTTAAATGAACTATTGAAAAAATTGAAAAAATGGAAGGAAAGAAACAAGAATTTATTAAGTGCCTGCTATGTGCTAAACGTTTTATAAATATTTCATTTTATCCTCACATCAACCCTGCAAGGTAGGTATTATTATCCCCATTTTGCAGTTGAGGAAACTGAGACAGATGGAGGTTAAGTGACAAGTGTCACATAGCTAGTAAATATCTGAGGTTAGATTTGAACTCAGGTCTTCCTGACTCCAGATCCAGCATCCTATCCACTGTGTCAAGCAGCTGCCTCTAAAATAAACAAGAGAAATAGTCAACTCTGGCTATAAAAATTTCATTCGTAAGTTCAACTGATGTAAATTATTTGCAACAAGATCAAAAGAGTCTAGAAAGTGACTTAGTCAGCGAACATTTGACTTATTTGCCAAATGGAAAAGATGGCTGTCAAAGACAGCAACAGGTTTGAATATAAACTTTTTTGCAAAATCCTGTGAAGATGGATGATATGCGATCATGAGCAGTATCAATTTGTAAAGCAGAGAGGAACATTAGAGGGTAATACTTATCTAAAATATGCTTGGCAAGTATCCAGGTAAGCAAAGTCATCCCAAGGTCATTTCAAGAGGAAAAAAACACTACAGATAGAAGAACAGCAGAAAAGACTGCAGAAACTATTAAAATTAGTTCTTTTCTTTATCAAGTATAATGAAGCCACCATACTTGGACCTTTAGCATCGTTGTCCCTGAAATGCTTACAGAGGAAGTAGAAATAGCACTAAAGAGAACAAAGACTAGAAAATCAGATGGGTTGGCTTGAGTATAGAGTAGATTCATGCTGGAGATATTACAGTTGGAAGGGCACTGAGAGATCAATATACATGGCATCTAAAGGAGGGGAAGATACCAGAAGTGTGGAAATAATCTTGGACCTTATCGAAACACACACACACACAAAGTAAACAAGGGCCATCAATGACCATTGACCTGTATGTCTAACCAGATGTAGCTAGGTGGCACAGTGGATAGAGCACTGGGCTTGGAATTAGGAAGACTTATCTTCATGAGTTCAGATCTGGTCTCTGACACTTACTAGCTGTCTGACTTTGGGCAAGTTTGCCTCAGTTTCCTCATCTGTAAAATAAGCTGGAGCAGGAAATGGCAAACCACTTCAGTATCTTTGCCTAGAAAACCCCAAGAGTCAGGGAGAGGCAGACATGACTGAAATGACTGAACAACAACAATATATCTAAACTCCCATCTATACAAACTTTGAAGGTTTCCTAGACATTGATTGAGGGCTTCCTTAAAGAGGATACTTAGTAGGGAACACTTTCAAAAATGATATTCAACAAAGAATCACATCTTTATCATTTCATAATTGGCTGAAAAAAATTAGGGAATGCTGTAAGACCACACTGTGCTTATTGTTGATTATGAAAAAAATATTTGATCGGGTAGAGCAAAGTATGACCTTACAAGCTCTCTTACAATGTAGAGTCTCCCATCCACTTATCAAGAGGTTCTGATAATCAACATTCTAGGTGAGACACAGGGAGATAGATGTATGCTCTTGTCAAAAGTGATGGAGATGGAGGAGATCCAGCACAGAGTCCAAGTCAAGGACGGATTCCCTGCAGATAATGAGGGTTTTCAGATGCTTATTTGTGGATGACATTATGTTGATTTCATCAAGCCCTAAGATACTACAGAGTAATATATTACAGAGTAATATCGAGAAGAGATGTATAAGCATTTAAAGGACTTTGGTCAGCCTATATACACAGTAAAGACTAAATGATTAAAGAATGTTTCTTGTACATTTTAAAAGTGAATCTGAATGGACACCCTATACAGTTTTTCTGTAGTGTGAATATCTGGGGCAGAGAGTAAGAAGGATGGTGAGTTAGGCCTAGAGTTGAAAAGAAAAAAGGGAACAGGTTGGATTACTTTGGGGGAATTGCAAAGCACCTTTGCTGATCTTAATATTCCCATAAATTTAATACAAAAATTTTACCAGTATTGCTATATGGCAGTGAGGCTTAGATCTCTGTCGTCTTCAAATAACTAAAGATGAGCATCACATAAAGGGCATTGAATAGGTACATTGTGAATATGAGAAGATTACAGCATTTAATCAGTGAGGAAATTCAGAGAAATAAAGGAGTATATAGGATGGCATCAAAGAATTATAAGACAGAAAAAAAGACTGGCTGATAGCGAGACAACAGTGACACAGAGTGGTAGCCAGCCAAAGTGCTTCGCTATTGCCTCATGATGTTGGCAGGAATTAAGGAATGCCTTTGGTATGTTGGATGGACCTTGTGCAGTGAACTTTTGGGAAGACGGGACAGAACATTGTTCAGAATTGGCAATCAGTCAGCAAACATTTATTCAATGTCTACTATGTACCAGACACTGTCTGGCATTTTGAAACTGTCATTCTATAGCCAGCAGGAATCTTTATGTACAGTTTAGTGCCCTTCTTCCCTTTCCATTTGAGTTTGGCATGACTGCTTGGTGTATTCGATGCCTAAGACCTCAAGGAGCTTACAGCACAGCCCAAATCATTGTGCCCTTTCTCCCACATGTAAATGCCAGCACTCAGGGAAAATCACCTGGGCCACCATCTTCTACCTCAGTGGGATCTCCCTTGTTTTGGTTTTCCTCTTCCCTAAAAAATTATGCAGCTTTATGATCCTATGATAAAGACCAAGTTTAAATACATACCTCCCTCCCCCAGGCCCTTCCTGCATTTATCTATTGCTGATAGGTAGCTGCAAATTAGGAGTAGGATGGTGCTCTTATTGGGGCTAGCGATGACAGCTGCTACATTTCTGCGGCTCGGGTCAGCTGCCTTGCCTTCCTTCTCGTGGTGACACAGAGGAGGAAGCCAAAAACCACGGAAGTGAAGGGAATTGCTCAGTTGCTTAGCTGCTCAAATAGTTAGCAAAAGCCAGTATTAGAATCCTGATTCTAATCTTGCATGCTAGTGCTCTTTCCACTATCCCATACTGCCTCTCGATGGTGGAATAACTGAATGGATATGATAGTACATGTGGAAGATGCAATGGAAATTTGCAAAAATGGAAAATTCAGCTTTAACTTATTGCAATGATTAAATGCAGCCATGGCCTAATTTTGATTTCAGATGGCCAGTGACCAATGTGCCAGGTAGCATTCCATGCCACCCTTGAATGCCAACAGGAATTCTTTGGGACAGCAAACCATCTTCGAAACAAAAACTGAGTCTTTTGGAGTAACTTGGCAAAGACTAGAAGTCATCAGTCATAACTATGGCAGCACCAAAGAGAACTTTGTACATTTCCCCACCTGATGGAGGGTGGGGCTGGATGATTGTGGCCGGCTGTTTCCTTGTCACCATCTGCACCAGGGCAGTCACAAGGTAGGTGGAAATACCTTGATTACTGAATTTTTCATGTTGTTCAGTGTCCCTCTTCTTTTTTCCCCCCTCTAGGTTTGCATGATTCTTTGACTGAGCCAGTGAATCCATAAACTGATTTTCTTATAGGCACCTTATCTTCTCAAATATCTACATTTATTTAACATTGTTCTTGAGTTATCTCCATTTAAACTATCCACAGTCTAAAATTTTACTCTTTCGAAGACACCGGAGCTTTGAGGCGGCTTCTTCAGATATTCTTCTTTAGAAGCAATTCACAAGGTTTTGAAAAATGTTTTATATGCCCAATAAGCTAACCAAATGAGGAAATTGCTTTTGTCTGTTGTTTTAGGGAATACATTCCTTAGCTATTAATAGATTTCATACTACTTTCTTTGCTAAAAAGTGTGCGCCCTTAGGTTCAGGGCTGAAAGGTCCATTAAACATCATAGAAGTCAACCCTTTCATTTTACAGATAAGGAAACTGAGGCTCAAAGAAAAAAGGGACTTGTCACGGTCTGTCAGGGCTCTTTAAAAATAGTTTTTAAGAATAGTAAAGCAGTCATTGCTTTCTGAGATAAATTAGGTGTAAACTTGTTTAGAGACAAATGGATAGATGAGATGATTTCTGAAGGCTCCTTTCATAGAGTTCATTCATTATTTTGAATTTGAAATTTGCTCAGTGATCTTTAAGGGGGACTCAGAGTGAATTGAACGTGCAGCTCTGGACCCACCCTCTCAAGTCACCCCAAAGATAAGCTGTTTGAAAAAAGAATGGTGTTATGACATTCTATTTGAAAGTCAAGACAAGCATTAGAAAGAAGACCCAGATTTAAAAATATATACATATATGCATATACATACACACATATAATGTATACATGTTTATACATATACATACACTATATATATACATATACACACACACTATATATACACACACACTCTCTATATATACATATACACAAACACTATATATACACACATGCACACTATATATATATGTATACATATATATATATGTATACATATATATATATGCATATATATGTATAATAACACCTTATGCAAGCTACTATTATAGGTCACACAGCTGTGTTCCCTATTGGTGCTTTACTGCAAATAGAAGTTTTCATTGTCTTTTGATTAGATGTATCTTTGGCAATGAAATGAGTTTGCCCTAATTTGATGGTATACTCAATTGAGGGAGCAAGGCATTCTCCAATAAGAAAGTCTGATGTAGAGAAAAGGGCAGGCATTTGCTTGTCTTACAACTTTATTGTGGACTTCATTGCTAATCCCTTCCTAAGGGAACACAAAATTGCAAGGGACCTTGGATATCATCTAGTTAAATCCCTTCATTTTGGAGATGATGAAACTGAAGCCTAGAGAAGGTAAATGACCTATCTGAGGTCACACAGGTAGTAAATAGTCATTAAGAGCCATCAAGAGGATTGAAAACAGTTCAGCGTTCACTTGGTTTTGAAGTTGGTTTCCTTAAAAACATCAGGATGCCAAGTTCCTGCTCTCCAACTCTTCACCCCTTCAAGGATGAGAGAGAATAAAGTTAATGAGTTTATACAAAGGTATGGATATATACATACTTTCCCACAACATTGATTCCCATCCTAGAAAAATTTTTAAAAGTTACTGATTATATTGCCTGATAAGAGGTGGAGTAGGATAGGGCTGGAGAGTGAGCACACTAACCCTGTACCTTCTGCTGTCTGTAAGCTTAGATAGGATTTTCCTCCCCCACAGAAAACACATGTATTCTAGAGACAGAGCCAAGATGGTGGAGAAAAGGCAGGAAGGAAACATATGTACTATCTTATGATTTCTGGCAGCCTTCATCTAAGTTTAATTTAGGAGTGGACTACAAGTGGAGTTATGAGTCATCTTTTGGACTCTGAAGGCAAAAAAAGCTAGTACAATTTTAGACTGCATTGAAATATGTATGTATATATATGAACGCAAATATATATATGGAGACATACATGCCTACATATGCATGTACATGTATAGACATATATGTATACATATATGCACGTGTGTGCACACACACATTCTTTTTGTATTCTGCCCTGCTTAGACCACACCGATGTTCCATCCTAGATATTTCACATAGGGAAGGACAAACTGTAACACATTTCAGATGGAGGGTGATCATGATATTACGGGATCTTAACCATATATTACAAAGATCCATCAAAGGAATTGGGGATGTTTAAGCTGGAGAAGAGAAAACTTAGTGGGGGATAGTGATCTGGCACAGAGTAATTCCTTAGTAAATATTTGCTAAGTGACAGCACATTTCTTGGCATATAGAAGGCACTTATTAAATGCATGTTGACCGATCATTTGTCATGATCGATGTCAACAGTTTTGGAAGGGCTGTTGTGGGCAAGAGGCACTAGAATTTTTTGTTGGTTCCAGAGAGGGCAGCAGGCAGAAGTTCCAAGAAAGGAAGACCTCAGTGTAACATACAGAAAAACTATCTTACAGTTAGAATGGTCCCTAAGTGGGTGAATTGAAGCAAAAATTGGATGACCATTTGTTAGGGATATCACAAAAAGGGCTTCATGTTCAGATACTGATTGGCTAGATGATTTCAGAGGTTACTTTCAAATGCTGAGATTCTGTGCTTCTAGAAATTGAGAGAATAATAAAGTTAGAGGCAGGGGTTTGGGTAAGAAGAGGAGAGAGGTTCATGACTTCATTGTTGGCTGAAGTGCTGAAAGGCAAAGATCTAACTTATTTACCAATAATTTTAAAAAATACAATCATCTAGATTAAAAGTATAGGCAAATATTATCAGTTTAGTACAAAGGTTTTTGATTCTTACTTAATTTTTCAAAGCATCAGAATCTTCCATTCTCTTAATTTTCCATGGGAACAGATGCTAACTTCCTGCTCTATAAAGTTGGGAATGTCTAATATTACCTCACCGAGAAATGGTAACCTACTTTCTCCTTTCATGGAGAAAGTTTTCTCTTTTAACTTTTCATTTTAGTATTTACACTGATTTGGGGAAATTATTTTACATTTTCACAACTCTAGACAGAAATGACATCACCTTTTGCTACTCTGTATCAGTTCTAGATGCTGGATGAAATTAAACTGAAATTCAGATACCATCCATGAACTGAAGTTTTCCAGCACATGATTTTTAATGGCCAATGGTTTTCGAAGTGTGGGGTAGTGTTTCCTCTTTTAGTATTGCTAAATTTTGTGCCCTTTTCTCCTTCCTTAAAAAACCCCAAATATTATTTCTGCCTTTTAATCTAAAATTCAGGCATAATGTTTCACTTAAACCAGTTACTTCTTCTTGTTGAATAAAATGATACAAACAAAAAGGTTTGTGCTGGTACAAAGGGTAAGTAAATTGTTGTATAAATATATTCTGATCTCGTTTTAATGTGACACCAATCCTCCAATGGATCTGTGACCTCATTTATGAGCATTCTGCTAACAATGGAATGAAATACTTGTCTTCATTGGAGACCTTTCTCTGGAGCACAACATGTATGTCATTTTAAAGTCATGAAAAACTATTGAGATAGTGTATTTATTTTCCCTCTTGGTTCCTATGTATTGAATTTTTGAAAAAAATTCTCTTATCTATAAAAGGGGTTTATTGATAGTGCTGATTTTATACATACTTCAATCCAATGACAGAGGCCTCCTTGCTGTTCTATGAACCAGATCTTCCATCTCTGGGCTCCAAATATTTTCCCTGGCTGTTCCCTATTCCTGGAATGTTTTCTCCTCATGTCTGCCTAATGGCTTCCGTGGCTTCCTTTAAGTCCCAGTTAAAATACCGTATTCTACAGGAAGCTTTTCTTAACCTGTCTTAATTCTAGTGCCTTCCTTCCTTTAATTATTCTCCATTGATCTTGTATATAGCTTGTTTGTACATATTCGTTAGCTTATTTCTCCCCCATTGAACTGTAAACTCCTTGAGGGCAGGGTCTGTCTTTTGCCTCTTTTTTGTATCCTTAGCACAGTGCCTGGCATAGAGCAGAAACTTAATAGATATTTATTGACTGACTGACCATATTGCGGTCTAATTGTAAACTCACTCCTTTGGAGGTGGCTGATCTTTGAAAGAAACACTGTTATTTTAAAGTGTCTCTCTAGTCCAACTTTTGCTGAAATTCTTGGGGTTGAGATTATAAAAACAATAATTTTTATCATTAAAATCATAAATTTTACATTTATTAGTATATACATTTAGGGAGCACTTTAAGGCTTTTTAAGGATTATCTCATTAGTTCCTCACAGCCTCGTTGTGAAGCAGGTGCTGTTGTTATCCCCATTTGTAAATGTGCAAAATGAAGCAATTGACTGGCAGAAATGCTACCGAACGCGGTCCCTTTGTGATCAGAGAGGAGTCCTCATAAATGTCCCCAAGCTGTTGCTTTCTGAGAAGATGTCCCACGGTTCCTGTTCAATGGTCACAGCCACCCAATTACCACTACATGCCAGTTGTTTTCAAAGATCATTCTCTCAGCGGCCAGGGGTGAAACACTGTGGACAAGCAACACGGAGACAGGAAGACCAATATGTGAATTAGAGGCATGGAGTATGAGAGCCAAAACGGACCTTAGAGATCAAGTCCAATCCCCTCAGTTAACAAGTGGAGATCAGGACTAGATCTCTGATGTCACTGGTGTAGGGAACACCTAGATGAGAAAATTCCACCAGTGCAGGTTGGCAACTTAGGGTCTTAGAGAATTGCTGCCCTAAAATGCTGAGAAATAAAATGATTTGCCCAGGGTCACTATGTGTCAGAAGTAGGACTTCACTGTTAGGTTTTATTGGCTTTGAGGCCAGTTCTGAGTCCAGACCTCGGACTAATGACAGCTAGGAAGACTGCCCAAGTCTGTACGTCCATACATGTATGTGTGCATGCCTCCCATTTTGGAAGCTGGAGATACATACACGCACATACACATACACATATATACACATACATACATACACACACATGCATATCCATATATACAAAAATACACACACTATTTTTTGTTATTTGGTTGTTTCAGTCCTGTCCAACCCTTTGTGATCCCATTTGGCAAAGACATTATAGTGGTTTGCCATTTCCTTTTCCAGCTCATTTTATAGGTGAGGAAACTGAGGCAAACAGGGTTAAATGACTTGCCCAGGGTCACACAGTCAGTAAGTGTCTGAGGCCAGATTTGAGCTCAGGAAGATGATTTTTCCAGACTGCCTCAGCTCTCTGTCCACTGTACCACCTAGCATACATATATAAATATATGCACATATATACACATATGTATATATACACATGCATACATATGTATATATATTTAACTTTTTTATCTTTAGGGTACTAACTTGTTTTTAGAAACATAAGCCAAAAACATTGTTGCTCAGAAATCTCTATGGTACTTGTTCCCATAAGGCCAAATGAAAGGAGGAATAACCCTTCCCCTCTCATACTCCCTCAAACTATAACATTAAAGAAATAAACTAGTGACATTTTAATAATTTGTTCTCAGGATTCTTGTATATTTAAGTGATAAGGTCAAGTGTTACTCCTGAAATATTTTTTTCTCTCTCAAGTTCATCCTGGCCAGGGGTTCTTAATTTTGGTTCTACAGACCCCCAAGGAATCCTTGGGTGGACTTCAGGGGAATCTATGAAGTTGGATGGAAAAAAAATATTTATTTCAATATAATTGATTTTTTGGGAAATCTTATGTATTTATTTTATGCTTTTAACAACATTATTCTGAGGAGTCCACAAGCTTCACCAGATTGGGTCATCACTACACAAGAAAAGGTTAAGAACTCCTGAATTCTAGGTGGTGTTTGTATATATTCACACTCACTGGTTTGATTATCTTGAGTGTGGTGATGGAGAGGGAGTGAAAAAAAAAGTCAAGAAAACTTGTGTAGTTTGTCAGACACAAAAGCAAAACTTCCTCAAAATGATTCAGTGCAAAGTAAAAAAGATTAAGATTGGTGAATGTTCCTCAGTGATATCATAGCCTATGAGGCCCAACCAAGGTTAGGGTATTACAGATTTACAGTCACATGAAAAAGAGCCAGTGAAATAATAATTAAAAAAACTGTACAGAAGAGAATAGAGGGGGACAAGTAAGGCAGTTCTGTAACTAATGTGCTGAATTTATTATACATTTTTAAGAGATGTGCACAATGAGTCGAGGTTTCTCTTATTCTTTGTATATGGAAATGCTCATATTTGATAATATTTGTCAAGTTCTATCAATAAACAAATACTAATTTTTAAAAAGATAATCAAATGAGAACAGGCCATATTTAGGCATCTGGGAATAAAAAGAAAAAAGTTCAGTTGCAAAGGGATTAATGGAAATCATTAATCTTGGATTTGGCCAGAAAAATCGGATTTTTTATTTGGCTTGTGCACAATTTGTCTGTTCTGAAGTAAATATTTTCTCAGTTTTTGACTTGGTTTTCAAAAGAGGCTAACATGATCTTGGCTGTATTAAATGAAATATAGAGTCCTACAGTATTCACTCCTTATCAGACCACATCTGGGACACTTAATTCAGTTCTGAGCATCACATTTTAGGAAGGACAATATTTAGGTAGTAAAAATAGCTGACTCTTGTGAGGCAGTATTGGATAATGGATAGGCAGCTGTCCTCTGAGTCAGGAACAGCTTGTTCTACTTCTGACCCACGCTGACTGTGTGATGTTGTATAAGTCATTTGCCTGATCAGTTTCCTGAGCAGCAACCTAAGTTTTTAACTTGCAGAACTGTTGCCAGTCTGCGTAAATGGAGGGAGTTTCCTTACTGCAAATTGCCCGTACTGGTGAAATCACAGGTCAAGACAGCAAAACACACACAGACAGACATTTATATAACAATTTAAAGTTTGCAAACATACATCTCCGCGTAAGAGCTACCAGAGGCATTATTATTCTTATTTTACAGATGAGAAAATACAGGTTTAGAGACGTTAAGTCATTTGTACCCATTTGCTCATGGTAACACAGCTGCAAGTGTTAATGGGTAGGATTTGAACCTAAGTCTTCCACAGAGTTATAGCACTCTATCCTTTGCAACATTTGGCTTTTTAGGTAATGAACAGTCAAAAAGGAGATTGCTTGAAAAGTGATTCATTGATTTTTTCTTACAATTCAAATCTGTAAAAGTGTCTTAAATGAAATTAGTTCAATTATCAAAAAAAGTTATGCAAAGCTCTCCATGCATTATAACACACCAACTCTAAGTAGTGGGGGTCAGTTTGTTTCATTACTCTATTTCTTCCCTGAATGATATGGATCCCTGGCATTAGGCCTTGTGCAAACATTGACTTTATCTGGGAGTGAAGCACTACATTTTAAACCTTTTTGACTGAATTCTTTACAGCCACTGCTTGGAGTCAGGGCAAGAAAGGATCCTGGGCCCCCCATTGCACTCCTCTCCCCTATGCCCCAGCCCTTGATCACTGCTACAATCCTCCATAATCCCATCTTGGAGTGAAGATAAATGTTTATAGGACTATTCCAGGATTCTATAGACTGTCAAAATGGTGGGATGAATATAGGTGTATTAAAAATAAGCACCACTTGGTCATACTGCCTTAGACTCATGCCTCAGTGCCTTACTATATCTCATTCTAGTGCAAATCCTGTATGAATTTCTTAAATGAGAGAGGCAGCGTGATGTAATTGAAAGAATGCTGGACTCAGAGTCAAAAGAGACCTGGGTTTAAATTCTGACTCTGGTACTCAGCTGTGTGACTATGGACAGTGCACAATCTCTCTCTGAGTCCCAAGTTCTTCATCTGTAAAAAAGAGGTAATAATACTTATATTGAGTAATACTTAGTTACATAAGGTTGATGTGAGGATCAAATGAAATGATGTGTGTAAAGTGCTTTGAAAACATTAAAGGGCAAATATTGGTGTTGTTGTTATTATTTTAATTTATCTAAGTTTGCTTTAGTCCATGTTGACTTGGAACTGAGCCATGCAGTCAATTGACCAGGGAAAGTTCCATTAATTGTACCCAAGCCTCAGTCCTTGGTACTTACAAAGATGGAGACTGATGTGAGTATATACTTCTGGTACACTTCTGATTTTTCTGGTGATCATGCTAGAATTTCCAGGAGTGCCAATTCAGATCCATGAAGACTTGAATAGTCAATTACACGAAACCTTTGGGTCCTGGTCAATTCAAGTCTGTGGTCCCATGAAATCCACCCATGGTATAAAACAATTGTTTTGTGTTTTTCAGATGTATCTCCATTTTTTTTGTGGAGTTCCAGACATATTTTGCTCAGGATTATGCACAAACAGCATGGATCCATTCCATTGTAGACTGTGTCACCATGCTATGTGGTGAGTGTTACCTTTCAAGGAGAAAGAACGGGCTTATCTTTACTTGTATCTGGTAGTGACTTCCCATCAGCTCTCATTACAGATTTTTCTAACTATAAGTATTATGGTGAGAATTGATTAAGGGAATACGAGCAATGATCTTTCAACATTCATTTTTAAATTTTCAGTTCCAAATTCTCTTCCCTGATCTAGTCCCTCTCCCACCCATTGAGAAGGCAAGCAATAGGATATCCATTATATGTGAGAAGACATGCAAAACACTTCCATAGCCACGATCTTTCTACCCCTCAGCCAAACTCAGCCTAGCTTGTGATGATCAAGTAAGCAGCCGAGGCCAGCTGGTGGTCTTGTGGTTAATATATAAAAAAGAAACATATAGACTATATGATTCTCCATGGACAGAGATTCAATGCTAAGAATTATTTGTCTTGACTACTCATTATTGTGAAAGTAAGGTGCCAGTAGGCATTGACTTCTCTTTTCCATGTTTTTTTTTAAATTATCTTTGACCATATTTGTTAAATTGTATTTGAAGTTCATTATTAAATGAGCTTCAAAATTAATTTAATAAAGCTTATTGAAACACAAAATTAAATGAGCGTCAAATGGTTTTAAACTTCTAGCTAATTAGGTTCATAAATTGTGGTAACAGATTTTTTTAAATTAAATTTTGTTTTATTTTCAGTCGCGAGTGTTTTCCCTTCTTCCACCCTCCCCCACCCATTGAAAGGCAAGACATATGATATCCATTATAGATAAGAAGTCATGTAAGACATATTTCTATATTAGCCATATTCTGAAAAATACAAGAAAAATGAAGAGAAAAATATGCTTCATTTTGTATTCTGAGTCCATCAATTCTTTCTCTCTGAAGGCAGATTGTATTTTTCAATCATGAGTACTCTGGAGGTGTCAAGGATGGTTGCATTGATCAGAGTTGCTAAGTCTTTCACAGTTGATTGTCTTTATAATATTGCTGTTATTATGTATATTGTTCTCTTTGTTCTGCATTATTTCATATAAATCTTCCCAGGCTTTTCTGGGAATCCTTTTCATTATTTCTTATAACACAATAATATTTCTTCACATTCATATGTCATAACTTGTTCAGCCATTCCCCAAATAACTGAAATCAGTTGAGTTTCCAATTCTTTGCCACCACAAAAGAGCTACTATAAATATTTTTGTACATGTAAGTTCTTCTTTTTATTTGATCTTCTTGGAACATAGACCTAGTTGTGATATTGCTAGATCAAAGGGTATGCCCAGTTTTATAGCCTTTTGGCCATAGTTCCAAATTGTTCTCCTGAATGGTTGGACCAGTTCACAACTTAACCAACAGTGCATTAGTGTCCCTATTTTCCTACAATCTCTCCCACGTTTGTCATTTCCCTTTTTCACCCTCTTAGCCAATCTAATAGATATGAGGTGGTACCTCAGAGTTGTTTTAATTTGCATTTCTCCAATTATTAGGGATTTAGAGCATTTTATAAGACTACTGATAGCTCTGATTTCTTTCTCTGAAAACTGTTCATATCCTTTGACCATTTATCAATTGGGGGATGGCTTTTATTTTTAGAAATTTGCCTCAGTTTCTTTTATCTTTGGGAAATCAGAGAAATGATATGAAACTTGATTATTTTAAAATAAAGATAAACCGATGAGTGAGATTTGGAGTCAGAGGATTTGGGTGCAAATATTGCTGCACCTCTTAATACTTGTGTGACTTTGGGTGAGTGATTTATCTTCGCTGGCTCTCAATTAGACAGTTAGATGATATAGTAGATCTAGTGATAGACCTGGAGTTAGGAAAACCTGAGTTTAAATGCTTTGCTGTGTGACCTGGGTCGTGTCACTTAGCCACTCTGTGTGTCACGATCCTCGTCTACATAAAGGATGTGTTAGACTCAATCGCTTTGGATATTCCTTCCAGCTCTCGGTCTATGGTTCTGTGATCTGGTTCCTCATCTGTAAAACAGGATTGGACTAGAATTAAGTGATCACTTCAACTTAGAAAACCACAAATTAACATTATCTATGTTGTATTTTTATTTATTTTGTTTAACATTTCTTAACCAAATTCTAATCTGGTTTGGACTACATGACCTACAATGTTTCATATCTGTTATCTGGAATTCTATTATCCCTAAACCTGTATATTCCCTTCATGCCACAAATCTGTGATCTTGTGCTTTACAGCGCTTTAGAACTTAGTGAACTACAGAAGTCCTCTAACCCAGAGGTAAAAGAAGAAACTATTGCTCATTTCCAATCTGATCAAATGAGATATTTGTTATGAAAGTGGCTCTGAAAGCCTTTAGTGAACTTAATTGAGTTAAAATAACATCATTATAGCCTAGACTTATATAATTGTTTCATAAGGAAGAATCCAAATGTCCCAGATCTCCTTGTTCACCGGGCCTTCTCAGATTGGTGTTAGCAGAAGTAATCTCTAACCCAACAGTTCATGAAATTACTGCATTAGAGTCCTTTGCACCAAACCCACTTCTATCTTTAGAAAAAATATAAACATGTTCAAGAAATCAGTTCCCCTGCCCTAGAGAGGAATTTGATGGACATTTTGCATCTAAGACGAGTTTCAGCGGGACAGGGTAACACCTCCTCACCAACAATAATGAAAGAATTTAAGGGAGCCAACGTATTAAAATACAAGCATTACCTGGCCTTCCTTAGGAGGAAAAATGCCATCCGCCTTGTACCATAGTTATTTATCTTCATATTTTAGTGAGGACTTTAATTCAATGAATATTTACTTAGTGCCAACTAAGTATAAGATGGGATAAGCTAGGGGAGGTAGGAGGAGAAAAGAAAAGATGTTCCTTGCCTTTGTGGAGTCTTTGTGTTAGCAGTCCCACTGACTTTGCCGCTTCCCCCTAAGGATCATGGAGTCTTTTCTATTTGTGCCTGAAACCTCTTATATGCGTTGTCTCCAGACATTGCAGTGTGAGCTCTTTGAAAACAGGGGTGCTTTCTGCTTTGCTCTCAGTAGTACTTCATGCATTAAGTGAGTGCTTCATAAATGTTTTTCCATTCATGTATTCATTCATCCCAAAAGATGCTGGGTATGTTGAGGAGGGGACACTTGTTCAGTTATGGGTTGGTCCTTGCTGTCCCTTCAAACTTTGAGATTATGTGACCTCTGAGAATAATATCACTCTTATAGCCTTTGATGCAAGGCGTGCTCAAGAAAGGTCTACTTGGGGGTATGCAGCCTTTGGTGACCATTAATGAACAGAATGCCAATTTGAGTCATTAGGCTCAGTAAGGTAATTTTGGAAGTGGTATCTTTAAACTTCACAGTATGGCATTGGGTCAGGCAGGCTGTACTTCATTCAGTATAATCACACCTTAACAATAGATAAATTCAGAGCAGGGAATATATATCTCCCAAATGACATCTGGGTATGACCAATCTTTTCACTGAGTTTACGTTTTTTGACAAATGACCAATGGTTGAGTTTCATTTAGCAAGTGAGGAGAGTTGGTACTTTCATGAATTGTCACATTTACCCATGATACTCCAGGCCTATAAAAATAGGAAAGCAACCTGTTTTTTTTTTTTTTTACTAGAAAGTCTTGACAATCCTAATTGTTTTACTGTAGCAGAGATAGCTTGGCAAAGATGGATAAAACCAAAAAAATTGCTTGTCCTGAGTCTTCACAGACCGCCTACAAAGCTTCGAGATAGGCAAGAGCCTAGAAATAGCAATTCTACCTTTTGGACCATGTCAAAGAGGCAGGTGAAATTTGCCAATGGAATCTTTTGGTCAAAGTCTGATTATACTTTGTATAATCTGGCCACCTTAGTAGCAACAGTATAATTCCATTTAATTCAGCAAACCCTTATTAAGTACCTACTTTTTGCAAGGTATTGAGTGAAGGGCTCTGGATACAAAAGTAAATAGGAGAGAGACTCTGATATCAAGAAACTTTCAATTTAAGATTTGTGGAAAATATTTGAGTACCAAAAACTATGGTAAAAGAGAGAACATCCTACATGCAAAGTAGAGGTTCCTGCCCCAAAAAGGTGCTATGACAAATTTAAAGAGGGAAGGATCATTTACATATAATAAAAATCATATAAATACAGTGTCAAGAGCATTGGCTCTTTTAATCTTATTAACCTCAGTTGTGACCACATCAAAAGTGGTCTTTAACAAACCTTGTAAAAGTAAAAACAAAAACCAAAATCTCCTACAAACAACAAATAGATTTGATAAAAATAATTTAAAATCCAATCTCAACCAACTGTGGTCTAGTAGGGCAGCTTATGTCCCTATTAAACAATTTATTCAGGGGAGGGATTTTTTGAGTGACTTGAGTGTTGACTTCTGATTGATCCTGTAACTTAGAATCATAAGATTTAGAGCTGGAAGGAGTATTAAAGGTAACAACAACAACAATAACAATAGTAACTATCATTTATATGGTGCCTTCTATATGCCAGGCACTGTGCTAGGTGCTTTGCAAACATTATCTCATTTTATCCTTACAACAACCCTGGGAAGTAGGTGCAGTTCTGTGCCCTAGAGAATGCAGCTCCCTGAAAGGTGATGTCACTCGCCCAAGGTCATGCAGGTAATAATGGACAGAGTCAGGATTCAAAACTATAATCTTCTTACTCCAAATCTACTGCTTTTCTTATTATACCATATTGTAAAATATGAAAGTTGTGTAATTGCTACTCTTATACATATACAGTACTTTAAGATTTGGAAAGTACTTTACATATATTCACTTGTGCCTTATACCAACCTTGTGAGTAGATGTTTCATTTATAGATGAAGAAACATTGCTACCTCCAAACCACAAGATATAACACTGAAGCTTTCTCCTCAATATTTTTTCCTGCATAACCTTGGGCTAACCATATAGCATCCCAACATCTTTCCCATGAGTCCTGTGTTGTCATTTCTTGCTTATAGTATAAGAAATTAATTCTTACATGAAATACTGTATGCAGAGAACTTAGCGACTTTCCTGGCCAAGAGATGAGTTAGTTGTTTTGGTAACTGCTTTGAGATCTTGGGGTAATGTGTCTTTTTCAATGCAAAGCTTCTGCCATTTCAAAGATCCCTGGAGGCCTTGATGTTGACCATAATTATTATTATTTTTGAAGCTCCACTGGGGAGTGTTATCAGTAACTATTTATCCTGTCAAGTGGGAATCATGCTGGGTGGCTTGCTTGCCTCTACTGGTCTCATCCTGAGTTCATTTGCCACCAGCCTGAAGCACCTCTACCTCACTCTTGGAGTTCTAACAGGTAAGGGCAATTAGATCACCTCTCTTCTTCCCACACCATTTAGTGTTTGATAATACATTATCAGAGAAGCAATTCATGAACTATTGATTCCATCATTCCCATAAATCGCCTAGGATCTGGCCTTTCTCCACATTTAATAGTTAAGAAAAAGAGCTGAGAGCCTCTATTGATTATACTACCCTCACCATACTGCATCATCCATTAAGTTCAACTGTATCATTAAAATTAAGTACTGACTTCCTCACATAGAGAATCCTAGCTGAGTCATAACGAGGAGGTAGCTACAGAGCTGCAAGTCTGTAGTTGGGGTCATTCTAACAGCTTTATTGCCAGGAAATGAAAATCCTTCTTTCAGTGTGTGTGTATTACTCCAGTAATAAAGTCCTCACCTTTGCAAATTAAAAAAAAGGTTTGTACCAAATAAAAAGACCCCTGTAACCAAAACACTGGTAACATGAGCTCTCCCAGTGCCAAGGAAACTTCTTTAGGAGAGTAATTATGGGTCAATCTTTTTCAAGAGGGACAGCTTGTATTAAGCAGCAGGCTGACAGTGCCTTTGTTTTGCTGGGAATGCTTAGGAAAGAAATGAGATAATGTGATGGGCTGGCTAATGTTGACACAGCGATTTGACTTTCAGCCCAGAGGACAGCTGAGAACACCACTTGCTTATTTCTAGGCACCACACCATAGGAGGTGGCCTGAGTTAGTGCAGTAAAGAATGCAGCCTCGTGGAAAGATGATAAATCCTTCCTTCTACATTAGCTAGCAATAATCAAGAGGTTACTGCTGTCAGGCACACTGGAGCTTGGTGTGGTCTGGTATCCTCCTTTTCTGGTGGTGTAATGCTGTGCTGCAGAATGGCTCCTGGTTAAAAACAAAAAGAACATATACATTTCTATAACTTTTTAGGGCTTACAAAGTGCTTTCTTATCAACAACCCTTTGAGGCTAGAATTCTTGTTATGTTTATGCTTATTTTATAGATGAGGAAAATGGGACACAGACAGGCAAATTAACTGCCCCAAATCATGCAGTTAGTAAGTTTTAGAACGCGGATTTAAACCTAAATATTATGACTTTGAGTCCAGTTGCCTTTCTGCCAGACCATTTAAAAATCAATGGAATGGAAGGGGGTATTTCTAAAGATTTCCCAGGCCTTTACTTGGTTTTCTAATATCTGTTTGCAGTAATTATAGTCAATATGTAAGAAGTTATTACTTTCAAGCATCAGATTAGAATATCTTCCCTACCTATCTGTATTGAACTTCAGTGATAACTCCAGAGAAGAAAGAGAGGCTGGTGACTTTGCACAGCACTCCCTCACTTAAATCCAATTCACTTGTATGTCATGACATCACCTCCCTGATGTCATTGGTCCTCTTCCAGAATGAAGGACAAGCAGCAGCAGCAATAGTGCATGGAATAATAGGCATTCATTTTATCAACATAGTTCATAGAAATGTCCAGAATATCATGGCTGTCTTCCTAGATCAAGTCAAGTGGAGAATGAGTCAAATGCCTGGATCATCTAAGGAAAGAAAACTTAAGAAAAGGAGATTTCTTCTATTGGAATTATTCAAATAGTTTGCCTAGATCCAGTTTGGTAAAGGAAATAGTTTAAAATTATTCTTCCACTTCTGATTACAGAGTCACAATTTTAAAATATTTCCGGAGAGAAGAATACCATTTATTTACCATAGAGAGCCTAGATTTTGGTTGGGGAGAGTTTTTCAAGTGAGAGCTTTAAAGGACCTTAACATAGGGAAAATGTGGAAGGTCACTTTTACATTACTCCAAAGAAAGTTATCACATGAGATCGCTTTGCAACTGCATTTATTTATTTATTTATCTTTACTATTTTTATTTAATTATCTGTAGGATTATTTGATCAAATAATCAAATGAGATATTTGTAAAGTGCTTGGCACATAGTAGGTGCTTAACAAATGCTTCCTCTCTTTCCTTCCCATAGCTGGTGGAACTTTCCTTCCCATAACTGGCACTCACAACAATGACAATAATACTTAATAATAATGACAACAACAGCTAACATTTATATAGCACTTACTGTGTACCAGGCATTGTGCTAAATGCTTTACAAATATTATCTCATTTGATCCTTACAACAACCGTGGGTGGTAGATGCTATTATTACCCCCATTTTACCGAGGAGGAAACTGAGGCACGCAGAAGTTAAGGGACTTGTCCAAGGTCACATAGCTAGTAAATATCTGAGCCTGGATTTGAATCCAGGTCTTCCTGACTTCAGGCCCAACACTCTATCTACTGTGCCATCTAGCTGCCCCAACAGAAATACCAGGTTTCAAGCCCTGCTTTTAATATTTGTTAGCTATGTGGCCATAGACGAGTCATTTAAGCTTTCAAGTGCCATAGACAACTCTCTAACGCTATAAGTTGTAGATAGACTGTCAATTTGCATTCCACACTTGGAGTACCCCCATACTGATGACATGAATTTGTCTGGATCAAAAAATGATAGTATTCCAATACTAACAGAATCCTCTTTATTTTCCAGGTCTTGGATTTGCACTTTGCTATTCTCCAGCCATAGCCATGGTGGGCAAGTACTTTAACAAGAGGAGAGCCCTTGCCTATGGCATAGCTATGTCAGGGAGTGGCATTGGGACCTTTATTTTGGCTCCCGTGGTTCAGCTCTTGATTGAGCAGTTCTCCTGGCGAGGGGCATTGCTCATTCTTGGAGGCTTCGTTTTGAACCTTTGTGTCTGCGGTGCCTTGATGCGTCCCATCACCCTGAAGGAGGACCACAAAAACCTCCCCCAGCAGGACCCTGTCTCCAAAACGCCAAAAGAGGACTTACCACCTTTGTCCCTCTGCTCACCTTTACTGAAAGAATGTGCTCAGCCCTGTCTGTGCTGCTCCCTGCAGCAAGAATACCACTTCTTACTCATAGCAGACTTTGTGGTATTCGCCACGTCCATCCTGTTCATGGCTTATGGCTGCAGCCCTGTCTTCGTGTATCTGGTGCCTTATGCTCTGAGTGTTGGAGTGAGTCATCAGCAAGCCGCATTTCTCATGTCCATACTTGGCGTGATTGACATTGTTGGCAACGTTACCTTTGGATGGCTGACAGATAGAAGGTAAAATGTGTGAAATAACAATCGCATATCCATTGAGGAACACCTAGGAATCCAATTCTCCCAGGTGCCCCTTATCAAAAGTCCTTGATGCGTTAAGAGGCAGTTGTGATATAGTAGCAAGAGCGCTGGTTTTGGAGTAAGATGACAGGTTCAAATCCTGCCTTTCCTTCATAATACCTCCGTTACCTTAGGCAACTCATTTCATCTCTAGCTTTCATTCCGCATCTATGCAAAAAGGGAATTGGATGATATGACCTCCAAGGTCCCCTACAGTTCTAAATCTTGTGATCTTATGTCATTCCATTTGCCTTCAAGATACTTGGAGGCAAGTATGGTGTAAAAGTACTTAACTTCCCTGATCCTCAGTTATGTCATCATACATAAGAGTGAGAAGCAAATATTATAATTTACAATGGAGGTTTACTGGTCCAAGCCATGAAAAAAAAACTTAGTAGTTTCTTCAGCAAAAACTCTACTTTATTTGGTCCTAAGAGACTCCATTTATCATCATCATCATCATCATCATTATCATTATTCAGTACTCAACTCATTACAAAATATTTTTCTATCCATTATGTCACCAGATCTTTACAACTCCAGCTTCATGAGATAGAAAGGGAGAAATTATCAAAGGAGAGTTAGTAACAGAAAAAAGCCACTTAAAGTGAATTTATTTTAAAAAGGGACTAACATTTATTTCATAGCAAATAATGGAGGAAAAGGGTTAATTGGAAATTTATCTCGAAAAAAATAAAATTTAAAATCCCAAATCTTAGTCCATTAGGAAAGGATTAAGAATTAAGGGAACTAATTTTTATTGATTTATCATTTGTTTCTCATCCACAAGGATGTGTCTGTCACTTAGCAGGGACATAGCATCATTCTCTAGTCTTACTAATTTATTTTCATTCTAACATCTTATTTTTAACACATACATATAGGTGTCTATGGATGTGCATAAACAACTCCATTTAACACCAGAGAGAGGTCACAAGGTATAGTGTAAAGGGCACTGGACTGAGTCAGTCTCCCTTCCCCAAAGATCCTTCTGTGCTTAAAATGAGCAAAGGCTCCCTGTTGTTGCAAGTGCTTCAAAGAATGATGAGTCTCAAAGAATTAAGGGAGGCCTTTGGGCAAATTCATGAAGTCCTCAAATATGGTTTCAACAATAACCCTGCTTTAGAAGAATGGTAAGGTCAATCATGAAGTGAAGGATATCATGTCATGCCATCATATCCTTTTAACAGAAAAATTGCACCAAAGAAACAATGAACATTTGGTGTGTTTTGTTCGTCCTAAAAATGAGTATAGAGGTGCAATTAAATTAAAATTTTTAGACATCAGATGAAATGACCTAATTTTAAAATAATTTTTAGTATTATTTTTCAAGACAAACCTCTAATTAACCTTTCCCCCCCCCCATTATTTACTATGCAATAAATGGTGGTCCCTGTTTTGAGTAGATTCACTTTAAGTGGCCTTTTCCTGTTACTAATTATCCTTAGATAATTTCTATCGCTCTACCTCATAGAGCTGGGGTTGCTGTGAAGATCTGATGAAATATTGGATAAGAAAATACTTTGTAAAGAATAGAGTGGTGAATGATGATAACTATAATAACAGCAACATAATAAGTGTTATTTGTGCAGTACTTTAAAGTTTAACAGATCATTTTATACACTATTTCGTTTGATTCTCTCAACAACCTCATTGGGTGAGAGCAAGAGGTACACATTCCCACTTTACAAATGAGGAAACTGAGGCTCAGAATTGTTAAGTGACTTGTTCATGGTCACTGAGCTAATAAGTATTAGAGGATTTGAAATTAGTCCTTTCTGATTCAATCATTCCATCATGCTGCCTCACATAAACACAAGGCAATATTACTGAAAGGGAGAAGGGAGTGAAATCTTTGATGATCTGTCGTGAATGATCGTGAGAGTTTTGAATCCTAAATTAGTAAACCATGATGATCTTGGCCATGAAAGCCTCTTCATTTATCTCACTTCTCAGCTTTTCTCTCCTTCAGTAGGTTAAAACTGCACTAAGATGTTTGCTACCCTCTAGATTATCCAGACTGAGCTAAATTAATCTTCCTAAAGTATAGCTCAGGTATCATCTCCTAAACTAAAGTTTTCATTATTTCCTGCTGCCACCCCCACCCCACCTCAAACCTCTCCTTGCTCTCAGTACTTTTCCCCCTCTTGGAATTGCTTCATATAGACTTTATACATGCTTTGTATTTATTTATCTCTGGGCATGTTACATGATCATAGTGACAAGCCCTCTCCCTTCCCCCAAAGGTAGCATGGCATAACAGAGAGAGTGCTAACCCAGTCAGGAAGGTCTCTGTTCAAGTCTTGTGCCAGACACTCAGCAAGATGTGTGACCCTAGAAAAGTCCCCTAGCTTTCTGTTTGCAAAATGGGGATAATATTAACACCTACTTCCTAAGGTTGTTGTGAAAACCAAATGAGACATTGTTGTACAGTGCTGGACAAATCTCATTCCTTTTTATTCATATGAGCTATAATTCAAATAGAACGTATGCTCCCTAAAGGCAAGAACTCTTTCTTTTCTATCTGAATCCTCAGTGCCTAGCACAGTACCCTGCACTTAGTAGGTGCTCAATAATGGTGTGTTGAGTTGAATTGAATGCAGTTAAGTTATTTAAGTAGGATCAGAGATGAAGCAACAGAAAGCAGTACAGTATGTAATGGAAGGAGCATTAGTAGCAGGCATGATATCAGGATTTGGCTCCTTGTGCCGATAATGATGCAAAACTCTTTTTTTTTATGCCTCAGTCTTTCTGCCCTCCCCCCAAAAAGTTGGGAGGAAAAGAAGTCAGATAGCCCATAGGAAGGGGCACTGAGTTTTTCAGTGGTAGAAAAGTGAGAGAAGTTGCCTCAAGAAGTAATTGCAGCATTTGCTAGTTTGTGCTCCGGGAGTTAAAAACAAATTCCTCAATGGGAACAGAGGAACATCTGTGCGTGCCATGCTCACTCTTGTTCTTCCAATCCACAGGTGCCTGAAGAACTCCAGATATATTTGCTATCTCTTTGCTGTGGGATTAGATGGTCTCTGTTACCTCTTCCTTCCAATGCTCCAAAGTTTCCCCCTGCTCGTGCCTTTCTCTTGTACCTTTGGGTATTTTGATGGTGCCTATGTCACCCTGATCCCCGTAGTGACGGCCGAAATGGTGGGGACCACCTCCTTATCATCAGCTCTTGGTGTGGTATACTTCCTCCATGCAGTCCCATACCTAGTGAGCCCGCCCATTGCAGGTCAGTTTCACAGAGAGATGTTCCCCCTCATTCTAAATCACCAGCCCTGTTTGGTGAGTGAACAGCTGATAGTCACACAAATACTAAACAAACAAACAAACAGATAGATAAATAAATAGGTAAGTAAATAAAGAAAGAAAGAGGGGGCAGAGGATTTGGGAGAGTGACACATTCACAAAATGGCTACCTTCCAACCTGACATTCCAAACTTAGACTTTTCTTAAACTAGGTGGAAACTCTAGTAAACACTCTTGTTTCTCTCTCTCTCTCTCTCTCTCTCTCTCTCTCTCTCTCTCTCTCTCTCTCTCTCTCTCTCTCTCTCTCTCTCTCTCTCTTCTCTCTCTCTCTGCCTCTTTCTCTCTGTCTCTCTCTCTCTTTCTCTCATTGTATGTATGGGTGTTTATAACACATTATACATCTATGAATATCAACATATCAGCACATATATTTAGATAATGTATACTTTAAGTCACATAATCACTTTTATTCAGTATATATAACAATTTCATCTACAAGCCATTTTTAGTTATACACACTGATGGAGGGATTCAAAACATCATGCATTTGAAATTATCTCCTATCTGGGGTCTGCAATACATTAAAATCATTTTTAGGTGGTTGTTGTTTTTTCTCCCTAGTATAAATTGAAAACAGATTTACCCTTCTATTTATCTTTCATCTCTGCTAAAGTTGTTTTTTGGTGGCAGCTAGATGGCACAGTGGATAGAGTCCCAGGACTGGAGTCAGGGAGACCTGAGTTCAAATCCTGCCTCAGACACTTACTAGTTGTGTGACCCTGGGCAAATCACTTAACCCTGTTTACCTCAGTTTCCTCATCTGTAAAATGAGTTAGAGAAAGAATGGCAAACCACTCCAGTTTCCTTGCCAAGAAAACCCAAAAAGAGTCACAAAGAGTCGGACACAACTGAAATGACTGAACAATTATAACAAAAATAGTTTTCATTTCCTGATGAAGGAGTTTAGAAGTGCTGTTAGGTAGACGAGTCCCCACTGAAAAAGGGTAAGACATCCTCAGAGCGAAAGAGAGAGAAGGTAAAAGATGAGATTTTTGAGTCAGTGACTGGAGAATATTGTCGCCATTGATAGAAATTAGGAAGTTAGTGGGAGAGCTAAGTTTTTTAAGGAAGGTTTTGGACATGTGGAGGTTGAGGATCCAATGAGATCTCTAGTGGAAATTGTACAATAAGAAGAAAGGGATGTGAAACAAGCTCAGGAGAGAGGTAAGGGCTGGAAATGTGGACGTGGGAGTCATTCAGATAGAGATCGTAAGTAAAACCACTAGAATTGGCAAGCTATCTGAAGGGCAGTATGGAAAGAGAAAAGCAGCTTACTTAGGAACCTTGAACACTCAGAGATCAGGGGTACGAGAAGGATGAGAATTCCTCAGAGAAATAATATCTCTGCTCTCAGCATCTGCTTTGAACTGCAGTGGGCCACTACTGACCATAGGCACTGCTTATGCAGCAAACTCAGGGAAGATGTGTAGCTGCCTAACCAGTGTAACTGGAAAATTTAGGTTATTTTCCATGCTAAGTTAATTTGTATCACACAATATGTAGGAGACATACATAGGAATGTTGAAGGCCTCCATGGAGAATGCTTCTACATCCTCCCTAAAATGCCCTGGAATTTGAATTGAAATAAGTTCACTGGGGCTTTTAACAGTTTTGCCATTACCATTTCTAATTATTTGGAGTGTGTAGGAGAAATGAGCAGTACAGCAGATAGAAATCAGGTTTTGGAATCAGGAAGACCTTAGTTCAAGATTTCTCTCTGATTCACATTAGCAGCATGACCACAGACATGTCACTTAACCCCTTAGTGCCTGCTGACCACGCTTTAAATGTAAGCTACAGACCAAGATGTTGCTGGTTCTTTATCAGTATGGGGTGTTTCCTTTAGTGTAGACGTCATAGCGTAGTGTATCTATTCTGTTAAATTCTTTGAAATATAAATTCTGATTGTTCAGTTGTATCAGAATAGTTTTTAAAAGAAAATACATTCATTTTTGTGAAGCTTATACAATAAAAATTTTGTTAAGAACTGCTTTTATTCCCTTCATTCCATGGCTTCAGTTGCCAAGTATTAATCTATGATTCAAACTATGGCTTGTGTCTAATCCCTATTCTTCAACATTCAGCTCAGGATTGGCTGCTCATAGATTGAATTTGTTGCAGTACAAAAATTCAGAATAATGATAATAATTTGATACTCTGATACTACTTTAATTAAAGCAAGTCACTCAGTTCAATGACCTACATTTCCTATAATTTTGTTATACAATGTACAGGGGGCCTATGTATGAATGTTGGAGGCCTCAATGAAGAAGCCTTCCATATTCTCCCTTCCAAATCCACTACAATGTTCTGAACACTCTGAAATTTGAATTAAAATAAGTTTACTAGAACTTGTTTTAGTTTCTCCATTAACAACTTCTAATGGCAGGGGATTTGGAATGAATAGGAGAAATGAATGGTATAACGGATAGAGGCTGGGCCTTGGAGTTGGTATCTTAAAGCAAGTTGCTCAGTTCAATGACTTACATTTTCTATAATATTTGGATCTTGTAGCATATTCTCTAGTAATTGCAAATAATAAAGATGATGTTTTGTTTTGTTCCCTAACAGGATGGCTGGTTGATACCACTCGAAGTTATACCGCAGCTTTCCTTCTCTGTGGCTTTTCAATGATCTTCAGTTCTGTATTACTCAGCTTTGCTAGGCTTCTAAAAAAGATGAAAACATCCCAGGTGCCGTCTCTTGACAGAGATCCTGGCCCCAAACTGCAGCTTTGCCCTAATGGGACAGTAGCTTATTCTGTAGCAGGAGAACTAGACCAGAGGGATGGGGACTTGATGACCACTGGAGGACCTAGTTATAACACATGACCAATGCCTACAGAGCCTGGAAACATTCAGAGATATGAGAGCTGAGGCCAAAATGTTCTCTGCCTGAAATATGATCTCTCAAGTGAATGATTCTCTGTTATATTTTTATAGGGGGAAAAAGATAACTGATATAAAAAGGCAAACGACAAAGGAAAACTGGACCCATCTGGTGTTTTTCTTTCTTATTTCTAATATGTGCTGGTCAATTCTACTAATCTCATTCTTTTGTCAGCTCTGCCACAGGGGTAATATGGGGAAGTAGCTAAGAGCACTGATTATAATTAGAAATAATATCATAGCCCTGAGAATTGGGTTCTGTTGGGCATCAGAATGTGTGCACCAAACTGTAGTTCTTGGTGGTTTGTGTCTTTATCTCCTGTCCTTGACCTTCCTCAGCAAGGGACAAGTTGAAATGTTTAGCAGATTGTTCTATCTTTATTATGCTACTTGTAGAAGAAAGATTCTAAACATTTTCTCATGGTTGAGTGACCATCTAGTCTAGCCCAGATCCAAAATAGAATCCCCAGCTCAATCCTTTCTCCCATTCTTCTCCCAATTTCTCCCACTCTGCCCATGTCTGCAGACCATCAAGTTAATGACTTTTGCCTTCCAACTTGAAGGCTATTTTCCTGATAACTTTAAGGCTACTTTCTCATAATTATCCAATGCCAAATTCTCTCTTTAAACATGTAGAAAATGGCTTACAGTGCATTAGTAGTATATAAAAGCCCACCTCAGGTCTTCTGGTTTTTGCTTACAATGTGAAAACCATACTTTTTTTCTCCCCAAATATAATTTATATTTCTGGACATTCCATTAGAAGCATCAATGACTTAGTAGGTTTTTTTTTTATTAATGTCGTAAATGTTCTAGATGGAACCATCATCACATGGCAAGATTTTTGTGTTTAGCCTGGCATGTTGTTTCTCAAACTAAGAATTTTAGGTAGTTCTTCTCATCACATTGTCCTTCTTGGTATGCTATAATGAAGACAAAACATCTTTTATACTACATTCATTTTTGGAGGGGTTTGCAATTTTTAAAAAAATATATTTATTAATTTTTAGCTTTCAACATTCACTTCCATAAGATTTTCTCCCCATTTCTCCCCTCCCCCCACCCCAAGACATACTACATTCATTTAGTTCTTCTATATGTATGTAAGTTATCAGGTCCTCTTTGAGGCTTTCTATTGAATGAGAAAACACTGATGGTTAACATCAACACTAGGCCTGTTCCTTCACTAGAGCATTGGTCAAAGGAGAAGGAAAGGATGGATTTTCCTGTGGGGATTCAGATCACCTTTTAAGACCTCATTTGGAAGAGGAGAATGGAGAATCTGTTGCACTTAGCACTTCCCTGACTCTTTCAAGTATAGGTGCAAAGACAAAGAAATTGCTTCTCTCCTCTTGTCTTCTGTGAGGTTTTGTAATTCTCAGAATGAATTTCATAGCATAGCAGTTGAGTACTAAGAAAGATCATCTAGTCCAACCCAGTAAATTTTCAAAAAGCCCGCAGAGGTTAAATAACTTGCTCAAGACCATGCTGATAATTCTCATGGCAGGGCTTGGATAATGGACTCCTTGTTCAGTATTCTTTTCACCAAACCATCAGTTCCTGATCTGCAAGCAAAATTTTACACAGGATCCCTTTTTAATTCCAGAGATCCCCAGAAATACCCTTATATGTGTCCTAGAGGGTTCCGGGCAGCTTCCTTTAAAAAGGGCTGCTTAGGGAATAACCGTACTTGCATACAAGGTAGAGAACAAGTTACACACTCCTCGGCATATACACGTGGCTCCAAGCTTAACCTTTCAATAAATCTTGATTGAAAGACAAGGCATCGTCATGCTTAGTATGCTGTACTTGATGTCAGGAAGACCTAAATTACAAATCTGCCTCTGACCCTCCTGAGCTATTTGACTAGGGGCAAAGTAGTTCATTTTTCTGGGCCTCAATTTCCTCATCCATAAAAGGGGAAGATGAGAGTAACAACACCTATCTCACAGGGTTGTTGCGAGGATCAAAGGAAATAATGAATGTAAAATAAACTTTATAAACCTTATGGCAACTTTAAAAATAACTTTATAAACTTTAGATAAATGGGAGCTATTAATGGAATAGAAATGATACTTTCCCTTTAGCTTTCAGAATAAAAAATCAACTCCATTAGATGGAAAGTCGATGTTACATCTTTCTGTTATCTCTTAGGCTGGTTTTCTTTATGTAATTTCAACCCTTCTCCATGCACCTGAAGAGGCATTTAAAAAGGATCATCTAGGCAGATTTGGAGAAGGGGGAGGGGGCAGTCAGGTGTCTCTAAGATGCTAAAAGGAGAGGGGCAAGTCTCAGTACATTAGGTGAGATAGTTTGTGGAGGAATCATGGAGAAACGTGTAAGAATCCTACAGGATGTGAAAGCGTGGGGGGCTTCTGCTCTGAATCAGGAAGCACAGAGACTGATGAGGACATGAATTCACCAAGGTATCACTGTCATTTATATATTTTAAAAAATGAGAAAATATCTGTAAAAGCCTGCAGTTAAATGAAAAAAAGAAAAAGGCAACAACCCATATATACGGCTTTCAATAGCACATCACACAAAATCAGTTCTTGAATCTTCATAATTTTTTGTACTATAGTTATACAGGGGATCAAGGATGCTTGACTTTTTCAGCATACTCCTAGATTTTTTTTTTTACAAGTTGGTTGGGGAGAAATTTTGAAATATTACCTTAGAGTGTCAGAAAAGTTAATGAGAAGTAGAATAGATCCCTGAGCTTTTCTGGACCAGAAGCCTTTGATATATTTCAAATATGTGCAATTGTCCATTTTGATGTTTATTCATTTGGGGAACAGCATTATAAAAAGCCTGTAGGAAATTATAGATTTTGTCACTCTAGAACTTTGTCATTTACTAATTAAACCCCACTAGTGGAGTGCTATGTGCCTATACTTTGGCTATTTCACAGGGGATTTGTGGGAAATGGTGGGTTTCATAGGAACAATTTGTAAAGAGTTGAGTTCTTTTTCTTAAATATGCTGTTATCTTATTGCAAATGGTACTGTGGAATTAGTTATAGGTAGAAAAATGCAAGAAAATGGTTCATTTTTTGGGATATATCATATGCATATTGTAGCCTTGTTACCAGATTTAATTATTTATCTTGATATTTTCTCATCTCAATGACATAATAAAAAGTTTACAGTTACATGTTTAAACTAAAGTTTTGTTGGTTCCTATGTGGCCCCCCCCAGGCAAAGGGTCTGGTCAAGGCGGTTTGAGAATTGATCCAAATGGATGCTTCATTACTCCAAGGATGTGTAATTTCATTGGTATTGGTGCTTCTCCCACTAATTCAAATTACATCCCTTCTAAAATTGGTAGGCAGTTTCACCCTCCAAATAACAAAGCAAAAACATTATTGACCTGGGAATAAGCCCCTGAATCCTGACAAAAAGTGTATCACTGAACCCATCTTTTTTTTTTTTTTGGCTAGGCAATGCGGTTAAGTGACTTGCCCAGGGTCACACAGCTAGTAAGTGTCAAGTGTCTGAGGCCAGATTTGAACTCGGGTCTTCCTGAATCCAGGGCCGGTGCTCTATCCACTGCACCACCTAGCTGCCCCTGAACTCATCCTAAAGCCTTTCCAATGAGGTAGGATTGTATAGAACTTATGCCCAACTAGCTTAACTATGAGAAACCAGGGTAACTTCCACCATTCAATGAGGCATCAGGCAAGGAGAAGAGAAGGGAATAAGTATTTATTAAACACCTACTATGTGTCAGGCAGCATACTAAATGCTTTAGAATTATTGTCTCAAATGAAATAGGTGAAGTAGACATCATCATCATCATCATCATCATCATTATTATTATTATTATTATTTATTATTATTATTATTATTATTATTATTATTATCCCCATTTTACAGTTGAGGCAGATAGAGAAGTGGCTTGCCCAGCTACTAAGTGTCAGTTCAGATTTGAATTCAGTACTTCCTGATTCCAGGCTCAGCACTCTATCCACTGTGCCCCCCAAATGCCATCAGAAAAGAACGTTAGTGGAAGATTCCTACAGATAGCAGCAAAGAATGTATTGATGCAGGTAACGTCTGCCACAATATTTCTTGATGTATTAGTCTATAAAAGGTCATGAATAATAAAATAGATCCTTAATTTTTTCATAGGGAACTAGATGCAAGTAGGAGCCAAAGGACATATTATAAGAGTGGGCAAGACTTCCACATGTTTTGGCTTTAAAGTAAGAGGATGTGGGTTCAAGTCCCAGCTCAGCAACTCACTTCTGTGTGAGTTCTATGGCTTCACAGTTTTCTCATCTGTAAAATGGGATTTTATGCGCATACCTCTGAGGTTCTTTCCAATTCCATTTCTAGGAAACTCTGAAATCTCTTTAACTGTAGTTGATTCCAACCAAAGTATAATATTCAACCATTCCTATTTGTCAGAACTCTGGTTGCTACAGCTTTTCTACAAAGCCATGCTTTACAGTAGGGAATGTGAGTGTTCTACTCTTGTCAGTTGCTTAAGCATTTGCTAAGACTACTATGCCAAGTGCTAAGCTAAACACTAAGGCTACAAGGGAAAGTGAAAGATAGACCCTGCTGTCAAGGGCCTCATAGTCTAATAGCAAAGATAACATACAAACAACTATCTACAAACAAGATGTATGCAGGAGAAAATGGAGATAATCAACAGAGGGATTAACATTAACTAGCATTAAATTAGTTTAACTAACACTGAAAGGGATCAGAAAAGGCTACTTGTAGAAAGTGGAGTTTTTGCTGGGACTTGAAGGAAGCCAGGAGGTGGAGATAAGAAAGGAAGAGTACACCCAGGTATGTCTTTGAGAGTGTTCTCCATAGTGAATGGTGACCCTGGTGAACACCTTCAAGGAGGACTAAGAGGAATTCCATGGCTCCCATATAACTGGGTCTTACTTTCTACCTAGCACCCACCTAGAAGTCATAACCTCGGAATAAATG